CGGCAGAAAATTAACTGGAACTACCGACACTGTCTCTATCTACCGTATACTCGATGAACGGTGGATGGAGAGCGGAGCTGAATGGTCTCTGTCGCAACAACGAGCGTGCTCCAGACCTACTTCGAGCTAGTTACTCGCGACCGTGACCTTCCGGTTCGATGAAACCAGGAGACTCACGGGGAAATTAAAGCTGGGAGTTTGGTGAAGGTTGCTGGCACGAGTGTATTTGGTTTTGAGGCTGTTTAGAGTCTGCGGTTTTTAGCGAAAGGGTTGTTGAGAATTATTAGAGCGTCAACCATATTTTGGATTTTATAGATATAGGAATGTCGAAATCGTTATTCCTTTCTTTCATTAATTTTTTATTCGTTTCCTTTGGTGACTATTTTTGTACAGAGGCTCGAGAAAGAGTAATTAACTAGATAGGATTTGATATATAAATGTGACCATGAAATATAATTGTTCCAATAAGTTCAAGATAGTAGCTTTCTCTAATTTATAAAATCTTCCTGCATTTCTAATTTTCGTAACAGACTTCCACGTAGTATCTATTATTCCGATACATTTTTTCATCTCGATAAGCTATTTTATTTGCATCTTCAAATAACGTGGCATTCGTGCAATTTCTCTTTCTACAGATTAGAAACATCTTATCTTCGTACGTAGCGCGTCACTTGCTTAAAATTACATTTACAACCAACCTAAGCGAGATTGATTCGTCTCTCTTAATTTTTCATTTCATAATTATGGAAATCTTTACTTGCGACGACCCCGTTAGAAATTCTTCGATTTCTTCAAATAATTTTCTAATTTTAAATCATCAGCCTAAAATACACGAAGAAAACATTTTACTCGGCCTGATGCTATATACATAGAGTCAACATAGTGTGGTCGATCGAAGGGTCGATGACGTGATGAGACTTTCGAACAGACCCAGACCGAAACGCGCGCGCCAGGAGGGTGGCGGCCCGATAGTAAACGAGTTATTGGAAAATCGTGTGAGGGGTGCGCCGAGGGAGAGGAGGTCAGCAATTTTTCGCCTCATTGGCTGTAAAAAGGAGACGCTTTATCGTTCGCAACGGCGGCAGTGGCGA